AATAAGTCACGCCTCCCAAAATATACTAACAAAAGACGCCTCCCATCTGTAAAATAAGTCACGCCTCCCCTCTGTAAAATAAGTCACGCCTCCCCTCTGTAAAATAAGTCACGCCTCCCCTCTGTAAAATAAGTCACGTCTCCCCTCTGTAAAATAAGTCACGTCTCCCATCTGTAAAATAAGTCACGTCTCCCATCTGTAAAATAAGTCACGCCTCCCCTCTGTAAAATAAGTCACGTCTTACTGTATTTCAAGGGAGGCGCTAAAATATACTAACAAAAGAACATAAGAGCATAAGTAAATCTGCTGACTACACTAAAACAGGACTCAAAACTACAGGAAGATCCCCCAGAAATTTCGAATGGTCTGAAAAATGGCAGATGAGATTCAACGTGGACAAATGTAAAGCACTCAGCCCAGGAGATGCAAACAGAGAAACCAGACACATAAGAATATAAAAAAATAAGGAGTCTGCAATAGGCCGGTTGGCCTGTGCACGGCAGCTCCTGTGGAGAGTTACTACCACTCTCTATCATCCATGAATCTATCTAGCCTCCTTTTGAAACTTTCCAGAGTTCCAGCACTTACTAAGCTTGTTTCACTCGTCCACCACCCTATTTGTGAACCAGTTCCTTCCTATCTCCTTCCTAAACCTAAACTTATCCAACTTAAATCCGTTGCTGCGAGTCCTATCCTGCTCGGATATTATAAGAACTTTATCTATATCTCCTCTATTGATTCCTTTCACCCACTTAAATACTTCTATCATATCTCCCCGCACTCTTCGTCTTTCTAGGGAATGCAAGTTAAGTTTCTTTAACCTATCCTGATATGGAAGGTTTCTAAGTCCCGGAATCATTTTCGTCATTCTTCGCTGCACCGACTCTAGTGAATTTCTATCCATTCTATAATAGGGGCACCAGAACTGAACCGCATAATCGAGGTGCGGCCTAACTAGCGCAAGATATAGTTGCAATAAGACCTCTGCACTCTTGTTACTTACACTTCTAGATATAAAACCCAATACTCTGTTTGCCTTATTTCGAACATTAACGCACTGTTTTCTAGGCCGTAGGTCCGGTCTTACAAGATGAGCACCAGATGAACAACTATGCCACAGAGAAATCCGACTGCGAGAAAGATCAAGGTGCAACGACAAGTAGGAATCTCAAGCCAAGTAAACAATGTGCATTTGCTAGAAACAAGGCCAACAAAGTACTTGGGCTCATACAAAGGAGCGCCAGTCGCAAGACCATCGAGGCCACGCCAAAACTATATCTTACTACTCCTGGATAAAGATGACCCACTTCTCTCTCTCTCTCTCTCCATATTTTAACTTCAGTGATATTTATTTGGTTTTCTTGAATATTTTGTTTCATTGTTTCACCACCGTCACTATCATCATCACACATTCCTCTATACCTTCATGTTAGTCCACCTCTGAGCAGTAAACAATATCCCTGTAAACACAACTATAAACAAACTACATTAGACCATATATCAAACACCAGGACAGATCTATGGACACTGTTATTATTAATCTATCACAAAATGTATCATAGGTAATATCTCTCCATTAAATAAAAGGATATTTACGTAGATAAGCGAGGCAAAAATTAAGGCCGTGATGTCATTTATGTAAAAGGTGGTACCGGGTATCTCTTTGTTGCTGTTGAGGAGAATGGTAGTCGACTCCCAAGGTTATCCACTGCGGCATTACCTCCAAAGCCCCGCCCATAAAATCGTGACGTTACAAATAGTTGCCACATGTCTTAATTTTAATTTATCAATCTTTTGTTATAAACTTATAATCTCTTATATATAAGTTCTGTTCTCTGTTCCTCTTTGTGTTATTCATGGGAGTGTCTAGTGATGGTTGGAGATGATATTAAAACTCCTGTGAGAGAGAAAAACTTGTGCAGCTTGCTATTCGATTCAGAGAAATATCTATGACGCCGTACAAGAAGCATGACATCATCGTGACGTCATAGAAGCTGAACTACCTCCTGCTCCTCCAATACCAGGAATAGACAGTTTTTCTAGGCTTTTATTCACTTTAAGAATACATATTCCTCCTTTTCAGCCCGTGAATATTAGGTAAATAATGTATAAAACCCCCTTGGTCCTTAAATATCGGCGAATATTATTTTTTATCGGTAATATTCGAATACACTAGTTTGTTTATTCCGTGCAGGGGCCCCGGGCCGTATGCTCCTTCTTCACGGATCGTTGAAATTACCCATTGCGCAAAAAATACTCACACGAGTAATCATACACCTGTCTCTCTCCTCCATCACTCAGCTACACTGTTTCCTCCACACCAGATGTACAGTACACCTTCCCTTCCCTACGTCTAAGTGTGTTATGTTTCACCCTTACTGATGTAGGCTATGTACAAATGTTCACAGCCTAGCTTCATCTAAAATCAAACACCTTTGAAAAATACTTAATATTCAGTTCTTAAATACCGACTCTTGCTAGAATCAACTTGAAGTGATTGAGATAAAGTAGTACTACGATAGGATGTCGTAATACAGAAGGATATAGAGTAATGATGTGGTAAATGCAGTGTTGAGTCATTGAGTGAATTGTATGTTGTTTGGTGACTGTATGGATGACAAGACTAGTTCACAGTTGATGTACAGTACGCATTGATGTTGCCATGAGGGGTTGGTGTACACACTGATGTTTCCATAAGAACATAAGAATGGAGGAAACTGCAGCGGCCCTCTTGGCCCATACTGGGTAGTTCCATCTACACCCAACCCCTACCGCTCATATATCCATCCAACCTATGTTTGAAGCCATCCAGCGTATTCGAGTTTATCCGAATGTGAGAAAGACTTGAGTAATGATAAGTAGGAATCTTAAGCCAAGTAAACAATGAGTATGTGCTCGCCACAAGGCTAATAAAGTACTTGGGTTCATACAAAGGAGTGTTAGTTACAAGACTAGCGAGGTCATCCTAAAACTATTGTATATCTTGCGCTTGTAAGACGTCACTTAACATAAGAAGAACATAAGAAAATAAGGAGTCTGCAATAGGCCGGTTGGCCTGTGCATGGCAGCTCCTGTCGAGAGTTACTACCACTCTCTATAATCCATGAATCTATCTAGCCTCCTTTTGAAACTTTCCAGAGTTCCCGCACTTACTACAAAGTTGCTAAGCTTGTTCCACTCGTCCACCACCCTATTTGTGAACCAGTTTCTTCCTATCTCCCTCCTAAACCTAAACTTATCCAACTTGAATCCGTTGCTGCGAGTCCTATCCTGCTCGGATATTATAAGAACTTTATCTATATCCCCTTTATTGATTCCTTTCACCCACTTAAATACTTCTATCATATCTCCCCGCACTCTTCGTCTTTCTAGGAAATGCAAGTTAAGTTTCTTTAACCTATCTTGATATGGAAGGTTTCTAAGTCCCGGAATCATTTTTGTCATTCTTCGCTGCACCGACTCTAGTGAATTGATATCCATTCTATAATAGGGGCACCAGAACTGAACCGCATAATCGAGGTGCGGCCTGAAAACAAATGTATTAGCGTTCGCAACAAGGCAAACAGGATTCTTGGGTTCATATCTAGGTCTGTGAGTAACAGAACTGCTGACGTTATCTTGAAACTTTACCTAGCATTAGTGAGGCCACACATGGATTATGCGGTTCAGTTCTGGTGTCCTTATTATAGAATGGACATAGATTATTTGGAGAGAGTACAAAGAAGAATGACAAAAATGATCCATAATATTAGAAAACCTTCCATATGAAGAAAGACTGAAAAGCTTAGGCTTACATTCATTAGAGAGGCGTAGAGTTAGGGGAGATATGATAGAGGTGTACAAGTGGGTAAGTGGGATTAACAAGGGTAAAATGGAAGATGTTCTGAAGCTCAGTAAGCGAAATAACTTCAGTAATAACGAAATAACTAGAACAAATGGCTTTAAATTAGATAAATTCCGATTCAGAAAGGATATAGGCAAGCACTGGTTTGGTAATAGAGTTGTGGATATGTGGAATAGGCTACCGAGTGCTATAGTAGGATCGGGGACGCTAGGGAGCTTCAAGACGAAGTTGGATAGGCACATGGAAGTGCTGGGATGGGTGTGAAAGGGATCTGCCCTGTATGGGCCAGTCGGCCTCCTGCAGTATCCCACTTTCTTATGTTCTTATGTTCTTAACTAGCGCAAGATATAGTTGCAATAAGACCTCTGCACTCTTGTTACTTACACTTCTAGATATAAAACCCAATACTCTGTTTGCCTTATTTCGAACATTAACGCACTGTTTTCTAGGCCGTAGGTCCGGGCTTACAAGTACCCCTAGGTCTCTTTCACAAGTCGACTTCTCTAGGTTGATGTTGGATTACGCAGTTCAACTGAGCTTGCTGATTATGACTTATGTGGTCCACGATTCGATTGCAGAGTAATTAGTGGTCAAAATGACCCTTGAAAGATTTTACTGACATTTTTCAATGCTAATTTCTCAACAACTCGTCCTGGCTTGTGTTTGGCTAGTTAGAAAAACAAATAATTAATGAATATTTAGATTGATTACAACTTCCCTTCCACATCATCTAATCACAAAATTATACGTCATATTGCTGGGACAGGGGCCGAAGCCGAGTGTGACTTTCCATAGTTAACATTCAATACCACATTTTCCATCTGTCTGCATGAGTCATATCCCTCGAGAACCAGTTTGTGACACGGTGAAAGGCTCGCTCAGGTGGATGAAAACGTGATCACCACCACGCCACACATCCACCTAATCTAACCTAACAGAACCTGGAGATTGAGGGAGATTTGGTCCACTGTACTATCCTGAGCTGAGATTTTACCCAATGGAGAGTGAATTTTTTCCGCCAAAATTTTATACGTGGTAAACGCTATACAAAAAAATAACACCAAAGGAATATTAATTTTCAAGAACACAATTTTCAGGCACTTGATTGACAAAAGCTTTCATTACCCAACACTTGTAATAATTAGTAGGAACTTACTTTATCCGCCGTCATGATGAAGGAGAAGGTGCAGCGCCTTATGTGGTTCCCGGTGTAGGGGTGGACAGTCACGCTTACCTCGTCTCTCAGCTTCAAACTCCGACAGAGTACTTTTATGTATATTGTTTATTCACTAATATATATCATTAGAATTTGATACTTCGTTGAACACTCTGGTTACGCAGGAGGCTAGCGGCTTTAGTAAGAAGTTAGTTTTCTTTGTGTATCGCGGAGGAAATCGTTCGTGAGGTAAGGGTTGCCCGGAAACAACAGCAAACAACAAGCACTTTTGGCCTCCCACCTTGAGAGTGATCAAGTGTGAGTCATAAATAATAAATAGCAACCAGTTTATTCCTACTGCAACAAGTGATTCCCAGGGGCGTATGGGGCTCAGGTGAGTAACACCGCCACCGCAGCTGTTCTGACAATGATTCAGGTGAGTCAGGTCGTTCCCGCTGCACCAGGAACCACCGCCATCCTCCCCTCCCACCCCCCACCCCACAGTAAACACCTCTTTTTAGGTAGATAGACAGTTTTAGTGACGTTTATCTACAGCTCTCCCTTATAATGTTTGTATGATTATTCACATTTTACATTTTACTTTCACATTTCACCAGCACAACGGGTTAGGGCAGTGATGCGCCAAGATAACGGGGCCCACCTGATGCTGTTACCTATGTTGCCAGTTTTCACAAGATTCATTTTCTCTCACTCACAGAATCGCCCACATACCACCTTTAACCTTCTTTAGAACCTAACTAACTTTCACTTCACCTAGAGAGCACCGTAGGACTTCTTTTAAGTTGTAGCTTATAAATCAGCCTCACCTGGCAGCCCAGGTATAAGACCAACAGCGTCAAAAACACCCACAACAGGAAAGAGCCCCGGAGCCTCTATATCCTCAGGTCACATCACGGTTTCTTTTTTGTCTCCACCCACTACCACCGTCTACCCACTCAGCTCAACCTAGTTACAGATTCTCTGTATTTAGGGTTGAATAGAAGCTTTGAAATACATATTATGATTTAGAATATAACTACACTGTATATCATTTATCTTGTTGTATTTGTTTTAGTGGCTAACCTTGATAATCTCTTAATACACTGACACTTATGTTTGCTGTACAGTCATCCACTAATGTCGTGACGTCTCTCCTGTTGATCCCCCAGATTCAGATTCGTGAACCTGAAGCAGTAGACACAGATGCATTATTGTCCATAAATGCTTTGGATTCATGAGTCTGAATCTCCGGGATCGTGATTTAGGAGAAGAGGTGATAGTACTTCCACAACTCGATTTAAAATGCCTGAATTTTCTTTGCAACATACAGTGGTTCTGGCAGTCTCATAAGCTATCATTACACGGATATAGATATAAGGGCATTTATTCTCTATAATTACGATGTTATTTACTTAGACCTTAGCAAAGCGTTTGACAGTACCGCATCAGAGGCTTCTGAGAAAAGTTAAGGCTCATGGTATCGAGGGGAAAGTTTTGAATTGAATAAAATCATGATTCACCGATAGAACACAGAGGGTCAGCGTAGATGGTGTTAAATCTGAGTGGGGTTATAAGAACATAAGAAAATAAGGAGTCTGCAATAGGCCGGTTGGCCTGTGCATGGCAGCTCCTGTCGAGAGTTACTACCACTCTCTATCATCCATGAATCTATCTAGCCTCCTTTTGAAACTTTCCATAGTTCCAGCACTTACAACAAAGTTGCTAAGCTTGTTTCACTCGTCCACCACCCTATTTGTGAACCAGTTCCTTCCTATCTCCCTCCTAAACCTAAACTTATCCAACTTAAATCCGTTGTTCCGAGTCCTATCCTGCTCGGATATTATAAGAACTTTATCTATATCGCCTTTATTGATTCCTTCCACCCACTTAAATACTTCTATCATATCTCCCCGCACTTGGGAACTTCGTGTTTTCTTCTTTCCTTGTGGTTATCAGCATATACCTGGATCACGCGCAACTACAGTGATTTACTTACATACATATATATATATTTCATGTAGATCCACAATGAAAACGTGGATAAGATAAATCTTGATACAATTACACGGGAAAAGGCAAACAACGGAGCACCTTAGCTTTCGTCTTTATTCAAGACAACTCCGTTGTTTCCCTTTTCCCGTGTGATTTCATCAAGACACATATATATATATATATATATATATATATATATATATATATATATATATATATATATATATATATATATATATATTTCATGTAAATCCACAATGAAAACGTGGATAAGATAAATCCCGTGTGATTTTATCAAGATATATATATATATATATATATATATATATATATATATATATATATATATATATATATATATATATATATATCAAGGTTGGTCGATATAACCAATGGTTAGAACCAAACTGTACTGTACTGTACTGTACAGTACTTATAAATAATAATACAAAATATAAAATTTGAGTTATATATTTAGTTCTTAGAGTTGATGTTTAATTTCAAAACATACCAACTTGTGGCCTCAGCTGTATA